TCCTGAGCTCAGCAGCTGACGAAAGCGAACATATATTCGTCCAACACTGTATAGGAGACTCCTGAGCTCAGCAGCTGAGGAAAGCGAACATATATTCCTCCAACACTGAATTTTCATTTGTGAATAATTAATCAACCCAAACGATGTTGAAAATCACTATCATTTTTCCAAGATATGAATTTGAATTTCTTTTTCCGAAAGAAGAAAAAGAAAATTCCTTTCATTTTGCGAAAAACAAATTTAATTATTGACAAATTCTCCCTCGAAATCCAATTTGGTATCTGCAATAAACTCACCTCGTTAGAATTCCTATTTCCCTCAGCGTCCTTTTGCAGTCCACCAAATCGTCGAAAATATATTCCGTTTTCTTGATGGCAACCAGTCTATGAGTATCCTGAACCATGCGAGAGATTAGTTTCGTGATGGTAACCACCCGCTCATGTTTCGACATTTACGAGAAATAGAAATTTCAAATATAAAATGCGAAAGTATTTATCAGCGTTGTAGGCTCCACATTCCCCGTGCATCCCTGAGCGTCAAGCTAAGGGACAATGATTCTGTGCAAGTGTCTTCAGAAAAAGCCTACAGTACCATGGATTCATATCGTATATATAAATCGTTCCAGAATTATCGTCGTAATAATCGTTTGGGCATTATTATACTATTCAGAAACGATGGTACTCCAGAGAATCAGCAACTCTAAAAACACTACTATCGAGAATCGAACCCACAACCTTCCGGTACCTGGTCACATGCCTCACACACTCGACCATTTCTCACCGCACTACTCGTTCTCTCTCGCGAGAAAAGAATATCGCGAGAGTCGCACTTCTCGAGACTCGTATGCCGGGGTATGATTGAGCAGTAGTCTCACTTGTTGTGTTGATCACAGAGTAGTAGTCTCAGATGTTCTGTGGATCATAGTAGCAGTAGTTGTAGTCGCTGTGTTGTCCACGGAGTAGCAGTTTCAGTTGCTGTGGTGTGTCATAGTAACCTGATGTCCTGGTCAGTCAATGCCACCTAAAATCTGTCTCAGTCGAAGAAAGAACGTTACGAGCGGTTCAATAAGCAGATTGTTATGTGTTCCACAATCGGCGGGTGGTCGTCTCGTTCACTCACGCTCGACCAACTCTAAGAAGCAGTCCACATTTTCGATCCCGATGAGAAACGAAACCTGCGTCGGAGAGTTCTAAAATGCTTATCTTTTACAGATCCGGGAAATACCGGAAGTTACACAGTTTCGTATTTACCTCTAAATCGCGGTTTCTGTTATTCCCAGTGTGTGTCTTGTTATTATCATGCGGGAAATTTAGTGGTGAATTCTCACCAAACTACCGAACAAACATGAATCAAATTCAACAATGAATATGGGAAGATATGGAGGTGCTCCATTCGGACCCACAAAAGAGTCTCTTATAATACACCTCGATAAGTGGAAGCTTCAATCGTCACCTCCAACTCGGAGCGAGCAGCGGTTTCCTAGATTGTGGCCGTTGTCTACTGTCAGTGAATGTGGGTAGTCAGAATCACTCCAAGTAACTGAAGTTAGTCTCCCACAACTAATCACGATTTCATCATGCCGTGTAAAGTCGAATCATCAACGGATATGACTTAAGGACTGTCAATGACGAACCGTTCATCGAACAGACGTCATTGAGGTTTGTTCTGTTCCGGCTGTCGCAGGCACTACTACGAGTTATCAAATGATGTTACTATGAACTCTCTCGCATGGAACTCAATTTATCCTTCAGGGCGTTAAAGAATGGAACTTGGGTGTAATCAATACTGGAATAATATCAAATACGATGCTTATATAATAACGCGAGATCAGTCAGTACTGGTGATTCAGTTCGGTGCTGCCGAGTCAGCAGCACTAAGCTTGCGACGCCATGCGACGTCGTGATTGCCTCGACGATGGCGAACCTGATGAGAGACCTCGGAGCAAACGACAAAGGTATTCAACGACTCACTTGCCAGATTATCCACCAAAGCAAGGTTATTAAAGCAACTCCAGAAATAACGGCGTTTTGAACGCCGATTATCATCCATCGACGCTGATCCTTTTCCGAAATAGCTTGCAACCATACTCGGAGTTGGGAGGTACACGCACAGATGACCTGCCGAGCGTCCAGGATCAATTTCACAGTGGCAGTGATAGGAGTCTATTTAAGAGTGCGTCATATTGAGCTGCTATTGCGCAACCTCCGCAAGCTCTATTCATCGCAGAGCCTCAATGGACAAGCTGATGGTTGACTTACATTGGATGCTTGTGAAGTTCCAATAAGGTCGAGGCAAGCTACACAGTTCCGCTGTTGTAATGCAAAACCTTCTACTGAAGGTACAGCAGAGCAAACCGATGTGACGACGTCCGAGAAGATCGCATCTGAAATATGGAGAAGATGATATTTTGCTTGCACGCTGGATCAGACCGCGATCTAACCGAGTGCCACAGGAAGACTCCAAGCGCAATTTTACCAGCATTCAAGCGAAGGATCCAGGACCCTCCTGAATACTTTTATAACTGAACGACCCGGCATCGTCATAAGCGTCATCGCTTATCACGCCTATCACGAGGATTTGCGAAATCAATGATTTGAAACCATCAATCTTGACTTGATCACAAATCAAGCCGATTTGGTCTCTTTTGAACTCGACGACTCGTTGCATCGAGAAAATGCGTGTGCTCCTCTTGGATCGCAACCACCAGGTTCAGGCTTACGTAGCCGTTCCCAACCATGTTAGCCCTCGTTAGCGAGATCCTCGCTGCGAGAACCGCAAAATTGACGTCGCGGACTGAAGATACCAGGTATCGAGTTCTGTGCCAGGCGAAATAGGGAGGTCCTTTCTATTCCGCCTCTACCCGCGATTTTCAAAGAAACCGTCGGATATTCGGAAACGTTACTATTCTCCCTCTGAATGAATGCTCTGAAGCCGCGGTTATCGACTATGCTGAGTGGGATCCGGTCGAAGATGATCTGTAAAGGAAGATCGTTGAAGTTACAATCCGAATTCACCAAGCATGAGAACTTACCATCTCAACAATGAGGTCATTAATCTCCACCTAGCCTGTCCTCTTCAGCTTATGCACATGCAGCATCATTATGTGCCATCGTTCAATAGGGCCCGTCGTAGCTCTGAAGCAATGCCCCTGTGGTGACAACCAGGAGTCGTTGAAGACATGTATCTTTCGGTGAGAGTATCCCGCTGAATGTCAGTGTTTTGAATCATCCCAATAATTCGACCCTCTCAGCATTCAGCTTGACGGAATAAGATGCTACGCTCCATCTCGAAAGTACCCCTGGTTGGTCTTCTTCCCTTGTTCCGTTGGGGCTAACCTCGGAAGCGAAGAAGCCCACCAAGGGAGTGATCTGGCGGGCTGTTCAAGTTTCTCGCATAAAAGTGCATGATGGGAAGCGTAAGAGAAAACAGCGCGGTGTTTGAGAACTCATCACTCTAGAATTGAAATGAGAGTCTCAGCTCCGGTGAACAAGGCTTCCATAATCCGACAATTCAATCATCCGATTCGGCTAGCTGTAGAAGTGTTGCTCTTTGAATATCCATAGAAGCCTTCTATTAGAAGGCGCAGAAGTAAACAAAAGCTGGATAAGCACGGGGATACTAGAAATTCTAGTCTAGAAGTACCCCGGTACCAATTCGGCATATCATATGCTGAAACTTGTACTAGTAGTATATGCTGCGTATGTTCAATCGCGTCTCGGGTCTCACACAAGCGCTGAGACCAGAGCGCGAGAATTTCTTGCCTAGAAATCGGATGATCCGATTCGGATCCAATCACACTGCGTCTCACCATCAACATTGTAGACTTCCGTACACTGTACTTTGTCGATAAAAGGTCTCGAGCAGGAAATATCCTTCGGAAGAGCTGTGCAGCTAGCATCGGTGAATCTTTCAACGGTCTGCTGAAGCTCGCCGACGCTGAAATCACCAAGGGGGCATAGATTCACGGCGGATGAAACTACGACCAGCACATCGCTGACAGCGTACAGAGTTCGTCGCGGGCTACGGAATGCGTCATAATCAAAGAGATGATTCTGCACTCACGGTATGGTGATCGAATAATCCCGAAGTATCGCCAACGTAATGAGCGAAAGCGCAACCTCTGGATATTTATTAACCTGAGAAGCGCATCTGTAATGCATTGGGAATACTCTTTGAGCTATTATTAATATCAGCATTCACTCAATCTGATTGAGTCAATCATAAGACTTCTACCTACCACTTCTTTTATCCCGTTCAGACTGAGTTTACCAATAATCGACATACCAATGCCAGTGCCTCCCACAAGGAGTGCTCCGACGAACGTCAACAGCAGAAGCCCGAAAAAGGTCCCACCAACAGTGTACCTCCATAGTTTACGTTTCCTGAAATAGTCCGCAAGTGAGGGAAAGAGTAGCATCGCAGGCTCGCTATTCAACTATCATCACAACCGTCTTGACAGAGGTTTTTTCTACTATAGACTGTGGCCCTTCAGAAGGAATAACAGGACGGGTGAATCCTCCTTATGATATCGAAGTTTACATGACATCTCACCTAATGGTCGAGCTGCAGTGGTAAACGATACCAAGGACAGCTGAAAGCGGTATCATAACTCCAACTATGATAGCTACAATCCAAGATGCTCGTACTGGGTTGATTGGTAAGAATATCGCTACGCCTAAACTATCTGCCAAGTCCATCAACTGAGGGAAGTACCTCATTTGTATGTTACTGGGGTTAAGACCTGCCTTACCTGTTGGGCATTCACTTGAGTCACTATAGATTTCTGTGCGTTCACGCTGGTGTAAACTGCCGAATAAATCGCGAATGCTGCAAATAGTACGAGGAATACCACGTAGAGGAGTGACCAAAGAGAGCAGGCTATTGAGCCGCGGCTACTCCTTGCTATGAGTTCGATCGACATAGAATGGGGTTAATATATTCTCTCAGCTAGCAAGACCATAGTGCGTGACTTCCTATTCCTGCCGTTCTTCGGGATCATCGTTGAAACGTAAATCATGTATTCCTCCTATTTAGATGAGCATAATATTTCTACTCTGCTGATATAGCTTATATCGCAAAAGCTGAAAGGAGCATATTGTTCTGCAGATGCTATGAGGGACAGTCAGAGAGCTAGCATGAATTCAAGAACTGAACCAAGGGGATATACCGCTCATTCTGACACGACAATTGTAAAACAGGAAAGCCAGCCCTGTCATTGCTCATACAACTACGCCGTTGTTGTAGTTACTACTACCTAGTTGAGAACACAAGAAGCCCCGATCCATGAGACGAAGTCGAGATACTGTTGCATCTCTCAGTTGAGTGAACGGGAAAATACAGAACTTCTGTACATCAGAAGAGGCTCGAATGATCTTGACATAAATATTTAAGTTTCCGAATACTTCCGTAAGGCCGCCGGACACGCCAACTGAGGGAAAACGAGAAGAATATTATCATTCATACTTCCAACGATAAATTTTTTTATGCCAACACTATACAATCATTCTCGAGGGAAGCGCAACAGCGAATGATTCATCGGCCTCCAAACCGCGTTCCTCCCAGAAGCTCTAGACCGAGGCTCGAGCACCCCCATGAGCAGATAATTCTACACACATCTTAGGCAGTAGAGTATAGCTGCAAGTTTTGTATTAAACTCGCCACTTTTTATGCCAAAAATTTCTGACCAGCCATAAATCTAACCGAGGTGTTGTGAAATGTCGATTCGTTGGTTTCGGCAGCTTCCAAAAGTTGCTGACAGTTTTGATAGTCATCAGGGATTCCACGAAATTATTCCTATTTCATCATACTTTCAAGACTGTTCTCTTAGTGAATGATGTTTCAAAACTTCATAAATAGCTTGCGTAACTTGCGATACGGCTGCATATTTTCAATTGATCGGGTTCTACTTTTCAGGTGGAATTCATTTTAGACAAATATTACCAGGTTGTCTACAATACTAATTAGCTCCAGTAGTTTGCCAACCTACTCGTCTCATAATCCACACGATGAGAAGAAGTCCATATACAGCGGCGACGACGACATCAATGAAAGCCACTGTTACCCATACTCCTCTTCCCTTCGGGCTCACAGCATCAATCCATGTTTGCAACAGTGAGCTGCACAGACAGAGCACCTGCTCGAAAAAATCATCCCAGATACTTCTGCGCAGTAACACTCAAAGATCTATCGTATGCTACTCGTTGTAGAAAAAGATTCCAAAACAAATGAGAAAGTTTTTCTCTCGTGTGCGCGACTATTGATGCGACCCAACTCACCTGCGCAGCCTGTGTATGTCCATGAGCGGTGAAACAATTAGAGCATTGATTCGAGCTAGCAGAGAAGTGACGATCGAGACGAGGAGGGAGTGAACAAACCTCATTCGCTGCCGCCACAGCACGAGCACCTGACGCAGTTTGCAAATGTTGAGAGTGAGACTGAAAGCGCCTGAGAATTTCGATCAGATAACAGTCGGTGGTCACGACCATTTCTACACGATTTCCCACTATAAACAATGGGACATGCTTCAGCTATCCCAGAGCTACCGTACGAGCGCGATCGTGATATTTTCTGTAACAATATTCGCTATCACAATTCCATATTTCTGCTATCCAAGCTGAAATGATCAGGCGGAGAGAAGAACATTGAAACCGCACACTGCCCTCATCCAAAAAACTCGAGTTTTTATCATCCTACTTGCTGCTGGCGAACATGTGATTTTCCCAACCTCAGCGGACCAACAGTCCACCTTCTCAGTCGTAGTGCATTTAAAGGTATCGTAAAAGGCCACTAGCGGGGTTATGAACCTGCAACTTGATAGAGCCTTTGCATTGCAGTGGCAACTGACTTGGCGACATCTTCTTTGAGATTTGGTGATATGAGACCTCCTGTCTCCTCGCTCGCCTTCACGAGCTGAAAGCAGTTCAACGGTGATGTTTACAACAGCTAGGAACCCTATAATGGGAGTGCATTTTCTAGGGCGAATTAACTACAAGTTCTGACACTCCAAAACTGATCATCCTCCTGATCCTCAAGAGCTCAGCCCAGACGAAGTTGAAAGACACAAATGTCTTTCCAGTGACAACGACTTTGATATGAAAAAAATTCAACTAACAACCCAACTAGCTAGCAACGATATTTCCTAGATATCATTATGGATCAGAAAGGAAACACCGGAACGTACTCCTCTCTTGAAGTACGCCAGCGAGCTCAGGAATATTTCCAGAAATTGCGAAGCGCGGAGGCTCCCGAACAACAAAGTTGATATAGAATGAATTCGAATTCCAACCACAGCAACTTCACCCCTCACCTGATGATCGATCTGCTCATCCACAGCTTTGCTTAGGTGTGAAATGCCAAAGCATGCTCCAGCGACGAGGACGCCGGCTACCACCAGGAAGAGGAGGAAAAGAAGATACAGCCCCGGGAGGATACATTTGTACGGATTCGTTTCCCTGACAAACAACGCCATTTCCTCAAGTGAGCTAGACTATTGGTCTTATCATTTCATTTCTCTAGTCTAGACTTATTGATATTCTCTTAAAGATAGTTCGAGTTTGTTCCATCGGCTACCCTTGCGTTCCCTATATGGCCGGCAACGGATCCGATTCCTCCAATTGAGATCCCGTGCCGACCCATCAACGACGCAAAAAGTACACTAATCTGCTGTACAGAATCATCTCGAGAGACTTGCGTGCCCGCTGAATCGGAGCCTCTGATTGCGTTCAGATCGGTGAAAGCAAAGCTCGATGGACTTTTTAAGTTGATTTCTCGAGCCGGTTAAGGAGAATTGTTCTACAAAGACTCTCCTGATGATTTCTAACAGCCTCAGAGGCTCGGATGAAAAACGAAAACAGGAAAAACAAATCATCGAGATATTGAATGTTGTTTAACGTTTTTTCACTCAAATATCATCCCCGCAAGGATTCGAACGCGCGGCCTCAAACGGGAAGATAATACTCATTCAAGATATGTCTGAATGCGAACCAGATCGACAGCTGCGACGGATCAAAAACACTAAACTGAATAACTCACCTGATAGTAGCCGACAGATGCTGTACACCTCCGATGAAACCAGCAGCACAAGCGACGGCCGCCATGCAAATAACGACGATTTTCGTCACCCCTAGGGGGTTCACTGGTATGAAAAGATTCACTCCTTGCGAGTGAGCAAGCCGAGTTAACTGACGGAAATGCGTTGAAAAATATCCTAAGCTCTGCTGTGTCAAGATACTACTCAAGAGCGACGATTCGAATAATAGAAGAGTACGAGAGCTGCTCACTTCAAGGGAATTCGGGTGAGTCGAACTATGAACACTATGAACTCACCTCTTGCGGAGACAGCGCGGCATAGAGGGAATCGTCGATGAGAGTCCAAGTCAGATAACAGCTCCACAGAGAAGCAGCGACGACAACAAGTATAACAAGAATGTAGATGATCGAAGTGATGAAGCGAAGACACTTGCGAGAGGAGTCTTCCGTCTTCATGGTGTGAGGGTAAGAAGCACGAAGCATTAACAAGCAAGAGTGCCTATTCCGGACATCATCCGTTTCACGCAATCACTAAAATATACTAATGATAATAAAGTAGTGAAGACCCTCATACAGACGACCCAGGTTCGAACCCCGCTGATGCTTTCTATACACTAAACTCAAAACTGTAGAGTTGTGGTATTCGAATGCAAATGAGTGTCCCCGTTCCTCACGAGCAGATATATTCGTAACCCTTCAACATGCATGGGATCAAAGCTATCCTATCTCTCCGACTCCATTGCCGACTCGGCCGTTTTCGTGACTAATACTCCCGTGAATACAGCATCACCATCATCATTCTTGTGAGTTTCCAATCGGAACAATCAACGAAAATTTTTCGGGAAACGGAAAACCCATCCAATTTTCGGTCAATCCTTTGTTGGCGTTTTCACTCCCCTCCTCAGTTTCGTCTCTCTGAAGACCACCGAAAACGATCGGGGAGGACCACAGCTTCATTGTGACTATCACGTGTTCCTTATGAATACGGAACGTGAACACATACCAATGCTAATAGTAGCAGGTTGCTACTATTAACAATTAGAGACTCTCCCGGGGAGAGGCCGACAAGCACACAGTGTGCTTGCGTGCACAAAGCTAATGTCCCGTAACTGGTGTAACACAAGGGGGTCTTATAGGTTAGGGACGTACAGTGTAGACTGTCAGAACCAATCGTACCGATCGTAAGGCGAAGGTAGGCCTATGTTTACGCGTGCAGTGTTCTCACGTACAGCGCACAGACGAAGAAGTACGTATGCACAGAATTGTCTACTGTACTCGGATGAGAGATGTTGACTAACATGGTCCTGTTGACGAGAGCAGGACAGATCTGCCGGGGGCAGCTCGAGCATTGATGAGACTACAACAGAAATAATGACTGACTATACTCATGATGAAGAATAATAAGTTAAACTCGCTTCCTCAATAATCCATCTATATAGCGTCGACTAGCTCGGGAGAGAACAATGTCAGAGCTAACCTGCCCATGATCAGCGGGCAGCGTGGTCAAAATGTGAGCGGCGGGTACCACTACTACGGTATCAGTAGGTACCAACTTACTCGAAGAGGGGAGTACGTAGACAAACGAATCCGGTAGCCGCTCAAATCCTTGGCTAGTAGCTCGCCCATGTACAGGTCGGTCTTAGAAGCAAAGTACACATAGCGGCCTACGTCGTCGGCCGTGGCAGGTTGACCGTGGTGACGATACTTCGATCCAAGTGGATGTCCTCGCAAAGAAGGCTCAGTGACTCGGTGGTCGACGCGGTGGACGGGAGTAGCAGGGTCAGAGTGACGGTCTACCCCGGGAGAGTTCGGGGCGAGGGCGTCAATAGCATCAGCGGCTGAGACGGTGCGCACGACCTTGTCCACAGGTTGAGAGATAATGATCTTGCCGCCACCGGTAGTTCTAGAGAGTCGAAGCATGTTGCCATCTCGTTGTAATACACGAAAAGGACCATCCAGAGGAGAACCGAGCTTAGTAGGTCTACGCGTGTGATGCTGAAGATAGACAACATCATCCAGACCGACCAGGTCAGGGTCGTCGCCGGCTCGAAGACGAGTGGTTTCGCGAGAGGTCTCCCAGCGATTGAAGATCCAATCGGCAAGGCGGCCGTTCGGCTGATTTGCGCCTGAAAGACATTCAGCAAGGGCAGCAGATGGCGTTGCCTGGTTCGGGGGATATGTATGAGCCATTTCCCAAGGCGATGTAGGACCAGGTGCATCCCATCGGTGCCGACAGTTGGCAATGTGGGCCGCTTGTAGAACCGTGAGAGGCCATGGTTGAGGGAGACCTTGCAGAATACGGAGTTGCTCATTGAATGGTCCATGGCTCCGTTCATATGTACCTCCTCGATTAGGACAGCGAGGTGGGATATATTGGAGCCGAATAGATCTCGCCAGGCAGAATGAGCGGACCAAGGGATTGGTGAAGGACTTAGAATTGTCAAGGCGGATGCCAGAAGGGGTCCCCGTCGTCGCAAGGATGGCCTTGAGACCCAGTAGAGTATGGCGAGCGCTCAACGAAGGCGTAGCTACTGCGGCAATGAAACCGCTGAGCAGACAAGTCGCAACTAAGCAGAAGCGGTAAGATTCCGAATGCGTAGACAATCCGTCCTTGCCATGTAAGGGAACATCGTAGGGGCCTGTGTGATCTAGACCGATGAACTCCCAAACTTGTTTAGGGGCTCGTAGAGAACCAGCAGCAGAGCTAACGGTGCGTTGAGGCTTGGCGTGAAGACAGGATCGGCAAGTACGACAGACGGAAACCACCGTGCGCTTCATCTTCAGCCATGAATACAGCGGAGTAAGTCGTCGAAGAGTGCCACCGATACCTTGGTGATGCTTCACATGTTCCTGGATGGTAGCGAGACGCTGCAGGAGAAGTGAGTGCTTCGGAATAACTAGTTGATGATAGCTCGACCCATCAATTCTCTGACGTGAGACCTTAACGATATCGCCGTTCTCATCACGTCTGTGAAAGGGGAGCTTATCGAATCCAGCGAGATCTTGAGCTTGTTGATGCCGAACAAGCAAGGTCAAGGGTGTTGCAGTGCGACCTATTGCGTCACCGTTTGAGAATTCCGAACGTAGCAGATGCCATGACTTGACGAGAAGCTTAGCTGCATAGTATTGCTTCATCAGGTCTTCTGCAGAGGTCGGAGGGTCAGTAAAAGGGAGTGTAGCGGTAATGACGTTGATCTCATCCAAGGGACAAGGGATACCGTCATCGTCGTCAGTCTCGGCTGTTTTCGTAGAGCTCTTCTTAGTCTTCTCTGTCTTCACCACTCGCGTTGGAGGCGTGGTAGGACGATAGTCGGAGGGAAGGCGATAGATGGACGTTACTGTGGAGAGTAGATCTCGGTCACAGCGCAGGATATCATCATAAGTATCGCGGACTTGTTGGAACAGAGCGTCGTAGTCCTGGTCGACAACGTCAGCTGTTCGACAGCGTGAGGCAGCGTCGGCAATGTTGTCGGTTCCTGAGAGATGCATAATGTAGACCGATATACCCATGGACTCGAGCTCGAATAAAGCATTCCGGATCTTGACAAGTCTACGGGTCGTAACCAGTTGAGAGACTGATGTAGGCAGTAATGTCATAGTCCTACGGAGTCGCAGGACTGAACACAGATTGTCCGTGAAGACCAGCAAGGAGGCGGTGTGGAGGTAGTCGTTGGCCTCTGTGAGGAGCTTGACTGTCCATCCGAGACTGATGGCCAAGGTGTCGAGCTCGAAGCGAGGTGCAGTGCGGTTCTTGATGGATTCGTCCTGTAGGAAACCACGTGCCATCATCCGCCTACCGTAGCTCGTTGTCAATATGCCTGCACCAGCCTGGTCACTACTGTCAGTGAACAAGCAGAGAATCCCTGCATGTGACCAGTCAGCAGGGTGTAAGACGCGTGGTACCCGGTGATCCCTGGTCTTCAGCTCATCCTCCCATTTGACTAGAGCAGTTCGGATTCCAGAAGAGAGCTTGGAGAGAGAGTCGGTATCCAACCGTGCACCACGAACGATCTTACGTAGACGCATAACATACTCTAGACAGATACCAAGGGGGTCAAAGAGTGAAGTACTGTATGCTCGTAAGTCAGCTAAGGTCGTGAGATTTGCCGCCAGGTGCTTCAGCTCGGTTCTTACCGAGAGAGTGTCAGTCTTTGGGTCCCAAATAAGGCCCAGTAACCCCTCAGGTTCGCGAGGCCTACACTCAGGGAGAGTCGTTAGTAGTTTCCTAACGTTTTCCGTGAACCTGTGGTTTTTGAGACCGGACCTGACTTCTGTCACCAAATCCGCAAGATGTTGAGCATCGTCACTCGCTATAGAGATATCGTCCATCAGAGTACGGATGTGGTGAGCGGGGATTTTGCATTTTTGGATGACCTTATTCAAAGCTTCGACGAGCGCATATGGAGAGTCAGGAAGACCGAAGAGGACTCGCTGGAAGCAGTAAGCCGTCGGCTGTGTAGTATTAGGAGCTTTCCATAAGAACCCAGTGTGTAACTGATCCTCGATCGATGGTAGAGATACCGATAAAAAGGCTTGCTGGAGGTCAATACAGACGAAATGTTGGTAGTGGCGCAAAAGGCCGATAGACTGAATCACGCCTTGCTCGCATCCCGGAGGAAGCTGTGCTGATATGAATCCCGCTAGAGGACCACCGTCAAAGACGGGTCTGAGCTTCATTGAGCTCTTGCCCGAATGTTGGGTCACATCACCCTTCACCACCGGGAAGTGGTTGAGCCAAAACTTGATGCTCCTCGGATCGACCCGTCGGATGTAGTGCCGTTCCTCGAACTGCTGGATCTGTCGGTCGTATTCTTCATACAGTCTTCGCTTGGAAAGATTGGTGATGAGTCGTTGTAACCGGGCCAGAAACGGAGCCTTCTTGTTGGTAGGAGGAGGGCGAGTCCATCTGAGGTGGTGGGTCAGCCGTTCCGTAGGGGTCCCGATGGGGGTGTCGATGGGGGGCTGGATAGACATGTCCCCCTTCGTCTTCGATGGAGGGACCTCAGAGACATCAGTGTGCGCACCCGTACCAGGGCAGATAGACTCAGGAGGAGCGACAATGTTCGGGGCTGAAGATGGCGTAGTCGATCCACTCGGCGCTTCGAAAGGTGAGGAGGTAGAAGGCAAGATCACATCATCGGGAGAGCGGTTCGTGTGTGGGAAAGGTCAGGCTTAGTTCCCCCTCTAGGTAGCTTGGCTTCCTCCAGAGCAGTTAGAAGATGTTCCCAGGCTTGCGTTACGTGTGGATTGGCGTCGACGAGAGAGATAAGACGGTCGCCTGTAGGATTGCCCGAGAAAACCCATATAACTGGAGAAGGTAGCTTCTGAAAGGGGGCCGTACTCCATATAAAGGGGCGAGAGAGTCCTTGTACCAACGCGATGTAGGTCGGAACACGACATGAGCGATGCACGAAGTCGATCTCGTAGATTGGGCATTTGGGGACCGATGTTTTGGTGGCCAGAGTTGCCGTGCAAGTGAGGTCCGTCGACCGAAGATCGACATTCGCCGCTTGGTGGCCAGAGTTGCCGTGCAAGTGAGGTCCGTCGACCGAAGATCGACATTCGCCGCTACCAACTGCATATAGCCGTCTTCACTGCAAGCAAGAAGCATAGCACCACTGTCCAAAAGACCCAAGAATGATGCCGTCGACGCATCAGAGCCTTGTCGTGTCGCAAAGCTGAACTCAGTTGTACGTAAGGACGGACTAGATGGTGAGAATGGAAGCGTCACTGCGGTGAGGTTGAGATGGGCGGAATCATCTACCAGCGGGGCAGTGGTTCCAGTGTACTCCACGAAGGAAAGGGTTTCGAATGTCAGGTTGCTTGTCTGCACCCGAGGAATCTCCGTATCAGCCTTGTCGGTCGAAGGCGTAGTTGATGTGGGGAGGTGGGCTAGACAGTGTGCCATATGGTGAGATCCTGACGCATCGCACCTTTCGCACCGCACAACGTCGCGCTGCGTGCAGGTGGAAGTACTTGGGCAGAACTTCTTCGGACGATTGCAGCGGTTGCATCGGTCGGACTTGTCCTGTGGCATTCTGGCGGGACAGGTCTTAGCCGTCCCACTACAGTTGGGGTCCTTGTCCATGCACCTGATGCACCGGACTCTTCGCTCGGATCTATTGCCCCGGCGTTGTTGTTGGCCTGCACGGTTTTTGGAGTTTGGTCGGAAGTTCGCAGAGATCTCGGTGAGAGGGATCTTCGGCAATGCTTCTGATGGGGTCGACACCTCTTTCACGGACCGTAAGGCTTCCTCGGACAACAACTCTTTGGTCAGATCTTCATAGGAGAGACCGGTATTTGATCGGCGGATACCAAGAGCAGCTTCACGATGTGGTGCTGCTAACATGGTGATCAGCAGACTGGTACAGTAGGAAGGTGGTAACGGACCGCTGTTACGCTCGTATTCCCTCTTGTACTTATCGAAGGTCTCGATGAATGTGGCGAGACAGGAGCCCGATTTCATTTTCAGGCTCACAAGCCTTTGCATCGTCAGGATCGGGTCAGTCGGCTTCTGGTATGTGTTGTACAACTCGTCAACAAGCCGACCGAGTTCGGCCTCGATAGTGGCATGAGTTCGGCCCCCGAGTGGAGATGTTGCTTCTTGCACTGAAGTACTCAGGTGCTCGAGTAGCCAGTTGTAGTATTCAGCAGCATACCATGAGTGGGCCTTGCTGAGAAGATTCGCTTGATGTAAGAGGTTGTTGAGGCTGCACTTGCTGGTGGTGCCGGCGAATATGGGAAAATCCCGCTTCAGTTTGGTCACCGCCATGAAGTCCTTCCTCTGAGAGGAAGTGAACTGCCGGTTACGTTCTGAAGAAGATGCCAGGTAGAACGATGGCGTCAGCCTCGTGGTCGAGAGGATAGAGCCGCGTGAGGGCGCTGGGCTCCGTGGGGTCGCCGGAGAGAAAGTTGATGGTTGCGGTGATTGGGCCATGGCGTTGTTCTGGATGTCGTCGATGAGTTCAGATCCCGGTAAAAGATGTCCCGTAACTGGTGTAACACAAGGGGGTCTTATAGGTTAGGGACGTACAGTGTAGACTGTCAGAACCAATCGTACCGATCGTAAGGCGAAGGTAGGCCTATGTTTACGCGTGCAGTGTTCTCACGTACAGCGCACAGACGAAGAAGTACGTATGCACAGAATTGTCTACTGTACTCGGATGAGAGATGTTGACTAACATGGTCCTGTTGACGAGAGCAGGACAGCTAATATCGATTTCCTGCACACGAAGGGCCGGTTTCATGAGAGCAAATTGCGCCTTAAACTTGGGTAACGCCTTAAGTAATTAGGACATTCTATTTCACTACTTAAGTAAGCACGTTAAGGCGCTTTAAGTTTCAGTGCATGTACGTAAGTATTTACGAAAAGCATATCACAACATGCGTACTCAAGGGGGAACTTAAGTATTCCTTAAATTTAATTAAGGTAGAGCCGAACCTACCTAAACAGAAACGTGAGTGCCGTGTTTGAATATTGCACCCCACAGGGGTTGAACCAGAGGTGACATGAAAATCCAAGGAAGACAAGTTGAAGAGTGAACCCGAAACTCCACCCGAAACCCGACAAGGCGACCAGAAACCCGAACTGCTGAGAGCGATCGACAAACTTCCTTGGATTTTGTCGTTCTTCCTTGGAATTTGTAATTTACGTGTAAGATAACGCCGTGGCGTTATCTGATGTGAAATCGCCACGTCACGCAGGGGGACAACCAATTGTGTTGAGACAGGGGCCGCGAAATCAGGCTTAGCTGAGCTACGCTAAGTTCCACCTACAGGGGAATTCGGTCTCTCTCTTCAAGGCTGTTCGGTTGCTCTGAGAGTTTCCTCTCCCGACAGCCTTCTGGCCTTCCCTTAAGGCCAGATCAACTCGAACTCAACCCACCCACCTCAACCCTTGTTACTGGGGGGTCTCTGGTTGCTTGCCGTACAGCAGAGTACCGTCAAGCAGCCAGGGTCCGAGTTCCAGCCCTTCGGCATCAGGCCGCGGATTGGAACTCCTCTCCCAACCCCAGTGACTATGGGATTTCACCGCCTATTGGTATCTTCCGTCACGCGCCACACAATTATTACTTCTGCGTGCCGTCACACTTCTAGAGCAAGATTGATCGATTCTAGGATTGATTTCAGCTTGTAAAAGGATGCAGTTTCTGATATAACTTTGAGTTTGAAAATCAGTTTAGTGTTGAACATTTCCATATAACCTCTTCAGCTTAGTAGTTGTCCTTTTCTCAGCTTACCGTTTAATAACGTTATAGTCATCAGCAGTAAAAGGGGAAGTAGTAGTAGAATGCAGAACCCACCAATACCGTATTCTCACGATTGCCCGACTTCAAGCGTTGATGTGGAGTACGTCAGTGCTGTGTTGGGTGAGTACCACAAGTGGACCTGTTCTGTATCTTACCAACTCAACCTAAAGATTCCTCTTTTCAGCCCAAGCGGCTCAAAACGCTCAAGTGAAGCTCTCCAGCGGTTTCAGTTGTTGTGGTGCGTCATAGTAACCTGATATCCTGCTCAGTCAATGCCATCCGAAACCTGTCTCAGTCGAAGAAAGAACGTTACGAGCGATTCAATAAGCAGATTGTCATGTGTTCCACAATCGGCGGGTGGTCGTCTCGTTCACTCACGCTCGACCAACTCTAAGAAGCAGTCCACATTTTCGATCCCGATGAAGAACGAAGCCTGCATCGGAGAGTTCTAAAATGCTTATCTTTTACAGATCCGGGAAATACCGGAAGTTACACAGTTTCGTATTTACCTCTAAATCGCGGTTTCTGTTATTCCCAGCGTATGTCTTGTTATTAACACAAGCGGAAAATTTGGTGGCGAATTCTCACCAAACTACCGAACAAACATGAATCAAATTCAACAAGGAATATGGGAAGATACGGAGGTGCTCCATTTAGACCCACAGAAGAGTCTCTTATAAGACACCTCGATAAGTGAAAGCTTTAATCGTCACCTCAAACTCGGAGCGAGCAGCGGTTTCCTAGATCGTGGCCGTTGTCTACTGTCAGTGAATGTGGGTAGTCAGAATCACTCCAAGTAACTGAAGTTAGTCTCCACAACTAATCACGATTTCATCATACCCTGTAAAGTCGAATCATCGACGGACATGACTTAAGGGGCGACGGTCAATGACGAACCGTTCATCGAACAGACGATTCTATCATTGAGGTTTGTTCTGTTCCGGCTGTCGCAGGCACTACCTACGAGTTATCAAATGATGTTACTATGAACTCTCTCGCATGGAACTCAATTTATCCTTCAGGGCGTTAAAGAATGGAACTTGGGTGTAATCAATACTGGAATAATATCAAATACAATGCTTATATAATAACGCGAGATCAGTCAGCAGTGCTGAATCAGTTCGGTGCTGCCGAGTCAGCAGCACTAAGCTTGCGACGCCATGCGACGTCGTGATTGCCTCGACGATGGCGAACCTGATGAGAGACCTCGGAGCAAACGACAAAGGTATTCAACGACTCACTTGCCAGATTGTCCACCAAAGCAAGGTTATTAAAGCAACTCCAGAAATAACGGCGTTTTGAACGCCGATTATCATCCATCGACGCTGATCCTTTTCCGAAATAGCTTGCAACCATACTCGGAGTTGGGAGGTACACGCACAGATGACCTGCCGAGCGTCCAGTATCAATTTCACTCAGGCAGTGATAGGAGTCTATTCAAGAGTGCGTCATATTGAGCTGCTATTGCGCAACCTCCGCAAGCTCTATTCATCGCAGAGCCTCAATGGACAAGCTGATGGTTGACTTACATTGGATGCTTGTGAAGTTCCAATAAGGTCGAGGCAAGCTACACAGTTCCGCTGTTGTAATGCAAAACCTTCTACTGAAGGTACAGCAGAGCAAACCGATGTGACGACGTCCGAGAAGATCGCATCTGAAATATGGGGAAGATGATATTTTGCTTGCACGCTGGATCAGACCGCGATCTAACCGAGTGCTACAGGAAGACTCCAAGCGCAATTTTACCAGCATTCAAGCGAAGGATCCAGGACCCTCCTGAATACTTTTATAACTGAACGACCCGGCATCGTCATAAGCGTCATCGCTTATCACGCCTATCACGAGGATTTGCGAAATCAATGATTTGAAACCATAAATCTTGACTTGATCACAAATCAAGCCGATTTGGTCTCTTTTGAACTCGACGACTCGTTGCATCGAGAAAATGCGTGTGCTCCTCTTGGATCGCAACCACCAGGTTCAGGCTTACGTAGCCGTTCCCAACCATGTTAGCCCTCGTTAGCGAGATCCTCGCTGCGAGAACCGCAAAATTGACGTCGCGGACTGAAGATACCAGGTATCGAGTTCTGTGCCAGGCGAAATAGGGAGGTCCTTTCTATTCCGCCTCTACGGTAGAGGCTCTACCCGCGATTTTCAAAGAAACCGTCGGATATTCGGAAACGTTACTATTCTCCCTTTGAATGAATGCTCTGAAGCCGCGGTTATCGACTATGCTGAGTGGGATCCGGTCGAAGATGATCTGTAAAGGAAGATCGTTGAAGTTACAATCCGAATTCACCAAGCATGAGAACTTACCATCTCAACAATGAGGTCATTAATCTCCACCTAGCCTGTCCTCTTCAGCTTATGCACATGCAGCATCATTATGTGCCATCGTTCAATAGGGCCCGTCGTAGCTCTAAAGCAATGCCCCTGTGGTGACAACCAGGAGTCGTTGAAGACATGTATCTTTCGGTGAGAGTATCCCGCTGAATGTCAGTGTTTTGAATCATCCCAATAATTCGACCCTCTCAGCATTCAGCTTGACGGAATAAGATGCTATGCTCCATCTCGAAAGTACCCCTGGTTGGTCTTCTTCCATTGTTCCGTAGGGGCTAACCTCGGAAGCGAAAAAGCCCGCCAGGGGAGTGATCTGGCGGGCTGTTCAAGTTTCTTGCATAAAAGTGCATGATGAGGAGCGTAGGATAAAACAGCGCGGTGTTTGAGAACTCATCACTCTAGAATTGAAATGAGAGTCTCATTATGAGACTCAGGGATGCCAAGAGCTAAGGCTCCAGGAGTTCAGCTCCGGTGAACAAGGCTTCCATAATCCGGCAATTCAATCATCCGATTCGGCTAGCTGTAGAAGTGTTGCTCTTTGAATATCCATAGAAGGCGCGGAAGTAAACAAAAGCTGGATGAGCACGGAAATACTAGAAATTCTAGTCTAGAAGTACCCCGGTACCGATTCGGCATATCATATGCTGAAACTTGTACTAGTAGTATATGCTGGGTATGTTCAATCGCGTCTCGGGTCTCACACAAGCGCTGAGACCAGAGCGCGAGAATTTTTTGTCTAGAAATCGGATGATCCGATTCGGATCCAATCACACTGCATCTCACCATCAACATTGTAGACTCCCGTACACTGTACTTTGTCGATAAAAGGTCTCGAACATGAAATATCCTTCGGAAGAGCTGTGCAGCTAGCATCGGTAAATCTTTCAACGGTCTGCTGAAGCTCGCCGACTCTGAAATCACCAAGGGGACATAGATTCACGGCGGATGAAACTACGACCGGCACATCGCTGACAGCGTACAGAGTTTGTCGCGGGCTACGGAATGCGTCATAATCAAAGAGATGATCCTGCACTCACGGTATGGTGATCGAATAATCCCGGAGTATCGCCAACGTAATGAGCGAAAGCGCAACCTCTGGATATTTATTAACCTGAGACGCGCATCTGTAATGCATTGGGGGTACTCCTTGAGCTACTATTAATATCAGCACTCATTCAAGCATAAGACTTCTACCTACCACTTCTTTTATCCCGTTCAGACTGAGTTTACCAATAATCGACATACCAATGCCAGTGCCTCCCACAAGGAGTGCTCCGACGAACGTCAACAGCAGAAGCCCGAAAAAGGTCCCACCAACAATGTACTTCCATAGTTTACGCTTCCTGAAATAGTCCACAAGTGAGGGAAAGAGTAGCATTGCAGGCTCGCTATTCAACTATCATCACAACCGTCTTGACTGAGGTTTTTTCGACTATAGACTGTGGCCCTTTAGAAGGAATAACATGACGAGTGAATCCTCCTCATGATATCGAAGTTTACATGACATCTCACCTAATGGTTGAGCTGCAGTGGTAAACGATACCAAGGACAGCTGAAAGCGGTATCATAACTCCAACTATGATAGCTACAATCCAAGATGCTCGTACTGGGTTGATTGGTAAGAATATCGCTACGCCCAAACTATCTGCCAAGTCCATCAACTGAGGGAAGTACCTCATTTGTATGTTACTGGGGTTAAGAGCTGTCTTACCTGTTGGGCATTCACTTGAGTCACTATAGATTTCTGTGCGTTCACGCTGGTGTAAACTGCCGAATAAATCGCGAATGCTGCAAATAGTACGAGGAATACCACGTAGAGGAGTGACCAAAGAGAGCAGGCTATTGAGCCGCGGCTACTCGTTGCTATGAGTTCGATCGACATAGAAAGGGGTTAATATATTCTCTCAGCTAGCAAGACCATAGTGCGTGACTTCCTATTCCTGCCGTTCTTCGGGATCATCGTTGAAACGTAAATCATGTATTCCTCCTATTTAGATGAGCATAATATTTCTACTCTGCTGATATAGCTTATATCGCAAAAGCTGAAAGGAGCATATTGTTCTGCAGATGCTATGAGGGACAGTCAGAGAGCTAGCATGAATTTAAGAACTGAACCAAGGGGATATACCGCTCATTCTGACACGACAATTGTAAAACAGGAAAGCCAGCCCTGTCATTGCTCATACAACTACGCCGTTGTTGTAGTTACTACTACCTAGTTGAGAACACAAGAAGCCACGAGCCATGAGACGAAGTCGAGATGCTGTTGCATCTCTCAGTTGAGTAAACGGGAAAATACAGAACCTCTGTACATCAGAAGAGGCTCGAATGATCTTGACATAAATAATTAAGTTTCCGAAGACTTCCGTAAGGCCGCTGGACACGCCAACTGAGGGAAAACGAGAAGAATATTATTACTCATACTTTCAACGATAAATTTCTATATGCCAACACTATACAATCATTCTCGAGGGAAGCGCAACAGCGAATGATTCATCAGCCTCCAAACCGCGTCCCTCCCAGAAGCTCTAGACCGAGGCTCAAGCACCCCGATGAGCAGATAATTCTACACACATCTTAGGCAGTAGAGTATAGCTCCAAGTTTTGTATTAAACTCGCCACTTTTTATGCCAAAAATTTCTGACCAGCCATAAATCAAACCGAGGTGTTGTGAAATGTCGATTCGTTGGTTTCGGCAGCTTCCAAAAGTTGCTGACAGTTTTGATAGTCATCAGGGATTCGGCGAAATTATTCCTATTTCATCATACTTTCAAGACTGTTCTCTTAGTGAATGATGTTCCAAAACTTCGTGAACAGCTTGCGTAACTTGCGATACGGCTGCATATTTTCAATTGATCGGGTTCTACTTTTCAGGTGGAATTCATTTTAGACCAATATTACCAGGTTGTCTACAATACTAATTAGCTCCAATAGTTTGCCAACCTACTCGTCTCATAATCCACACGATGAGAAGAAGTCCACATACAGCGGCGACGACGACATCAATGAAAGCCACTGTTACCCATACTCCTCTTCCCTTCGGGCTCACAGCATCAATCCATGTTTGCAACAGTGAGCTGCACAGACAGAGCACCTGTTCGAAAAAATCATCCCAGAAGATACTACTGCGCTAGAACACTCAAAGATTCATCGCATGCCATGAGTTGTAGAAAAGGATTCCAAAACAGATGAGGAAGTTATTCTCTCAGGTGCGCGACTATTGATGCGACACAACTCACCTGCGCAGCCTGCGTATGTCCATGAGCGGTGAAACAATTAGAGCATTGATTCGAGCTAGCAGAGAAGTGACGATCGAGACGAGGAGGGAGTGAACAAACCTCATTCGCTGCCGCCACAGCACGAGCATCTGACGCAGTTTGCAAATGTTGAGAGTGAGACTGAAAGCGCTGAGAATTTCGATCAGATAACAGTCGGTGGTCACGACCATTTCTACACGATTTCCCACTATAAACAATGGGACATGCTTCAGCTATCCCAGAGCTACCGTACGAGCGCGATCGTGATATTTTCTGTAACAATATTCGCTATCACAATTCCATATTTCTGCTATCCAAGCTGAAATGATCAGGCGGAGAGAAGAACATTGAAACCGCACACTGCCCTCATCCAAAAAACTCGAGTTTTTATCATCCTACTTGCTGCTGGCGAACATGTGATTTTCCCAACCTCAGCGGACCAACAGTCCACCTTCTCAGTCGTAGTGCATTTAAAGGTATCGTAAAAGGCCACTAGCGGGGTTATGAACCTGCAACTTGATAGAGCCTTTGCATTGCAGTGGCAACTGACTTGGCGACATCTTCTTTGAGATTTGGTGATATGAGACCTCCTGTCTCCTCGCTCGCCTTCACGAGCTGAAAGCAGTTCAACGGTGATGTTTACAACAGCTAGGAACCCTATAATGGGAGTGCATTTTCTAGGGCGAATTAACTACAAGTTCTGACACTCCAAAACTGATCATCCTCCTGATCCTCAAGAGCTCAGCCCAGACGAAGTTGAAAGACACAAATGTCTTTCCAGTGACAACGACTTTGATATGAAAAAAATTCAACTAACAACCCAACTAGCTAGCAACGATATTTCCTAGATATCATTATGGATCAGAAAGGAAACACCGGAACGTACTCCTCTCTTGAAGTACGCCAGCGAGCTCAGGAATATTTCCAGAAATTGCGAAGCGCGGAGGCTCCCGAACAACAAAGTTGATATAGAATGAATTCGAATTCCAACCACAGCAACTTCACCCCTCACCTGCTGATCGATCTGCTCATCCACAGCTTTGCTTAGGTGTGACATGCCAAAGCATGCTCCGGCGACGAGGACGCCGGCTACCACCAGGAAGATGAGGAAAAGAAGATACAGCCCCGGGAGGATACATTTGTACGGATTCGTTTCCCTGACAAACAACGCCATTTCCTCAAGTGAGCTAGACTATTGGTCTTATCATTTCATTTCTCTAGTCTAGACTTATTGATATTCTCTTGAAGATAGTTCGAGTTTCGGCTACCCTTGCGTGCCCTATATGGCCGGCAACAGATCCGATTCCTCCAATTGAGATCCCATCAACGACACAAAAAGTACACTAATCTGCTGTACAGAATCATCTCGAGAGACTTGCGCGCCCGCTGAATCGGAGCCTCTGATTGCGTTCAGATCAGTAAAAGCAAAGCTCTATGGATTTTTTAGTTAGTTACTCGAGCGTGTTGAGGAGAATTGTTCTACGTAGAATCTCCTGATGATTTCTAACAGCCTCAGAGGCCTGGATGAAAAACGAAAACAGGAAAAACAAACCATTGAGATATTGAATGTTGTTAAACGTTTTTTTCACTCAAAAATCATCCCCGCAAGGATTCGAACGCGCGACCTCAAACAGAAAGATAATACCCATTCAAGATATGTCTGAATGCGAAACAGATCAACGGCTGCGACGGATCAAAAACACTAAACTGAATAACTCACCTGATAGTAGCCGACAGATGCTGTACACCTCCGATGAAACCAGCAGCGCAAGCGACGGCCGCCATGCAAATAACGACGATTTTCGTCACCCCCAGGGGGTTCACTGGTATGAAAAGATTCACTCCTTGCGAGTGAGCAAGCCGGGTCAACTGACGGAAATGCGTTCAAAAATATCCTAAGCTCTGCTGTGTCAACATACTACTCAAGAGCGACGATTCGAATAATGACCGGAAGAGTACGAAAACTGCTCACTTCAAGGGAATTCAAGTGAGTCGAACTATGAACACTATGAACTCACCTCTTGAGGAGACAGCGCGGCATAGAGGGAATCGTCGATGAGAGTCCAAGTCAGGTAACAGCTCCACAGACAAGCAGCGACGACGACAAGTATAACAAGAATGTAGATGATCGAAGTGAAGAAGCGAAGATACTTCCGAGAGGAGTCTTCCGTCTTCGTAGTGTGAGGGTAAGGAGAACGAAGCATTAACAAGCAAGAGTGCCTATTCCGGACATCATCCGTTTCACGCAATCACTAAAATATACTAATGATAATAAAGTAGTGAAGATCCTCATACAGACGACCCAGGTTCGAACCCCGCTGATGCTTTCTATACACTAAACTCAAAAGTGTAGAATTGTGGTATTCGAATGCAAATGAGTGTCCCCGTTCCTCACGAGCAGATATATTCGTAACCCTTCAACATGCATGGGATCAAAGCTATCCTATCTCTCCGACTCAATTGCCGACTCGGCCGTTTTCGTGACTAATACTTCCGTGAATACAGCATCACCATCATCCTTCTTGTGAGTTTCCGATCGGAACGATCAACGAAAATTTTTCGGGGAACGGAAAAACCCACCCACGTTTCGGTCAATCACTCTCCTCCTCAGTTTCGTCTCTCTGAAGACCACCGAAAAACAATCGGGGAGGACCACGGCTTCGTTGTGACTATCATGTGCTCCTTATGAACACGGAACGTGAACACATACCGATGCTAATTGTAGCAGGTTGCTACTATTAACAATGGGAGACTCTCCCGGGGAGAAGCCGACTAGCACAGAGTGTGCTTGCGTGCACAAAGCTGATATCGATTTCCTGCACACAAAGGGCCGGTTTCATAAGAGTAAATTGCGCCCTAAAGTTGGGTAACGCCTTAAGCAATTAGGACATCCTATTTCACTACTTAAGTAAGCACGTTAAAGCGCCTTAAGTTTAGGAATACTCAAGGCGCCTTAAGTTTCAGTGCATGTACGTAAGTATTTACGAAAAGCATTTCACAACATGCGTACTCAAGGAGCAACTTAAGTATTCCTTAAATTTAATTAAGGTAGAGCCGAACCTACCTAAACAGATACTTGAGTATCGTGTTTGAATATTGCACCCCACAGGGGTTGAACCAGAGGTGATATGAAAATCCAAGGAAGACAAGTTGAAGAGCAAACGCGAAGCCCGACAAGGCAAGCAGAAACCCGAACTGCTGAGAGCGAGCGACAAACCTCCTTGGATTTTGTCGTTCTCCCTTGGAATTTGTAATTTACCCGCCTATTGGTATCTTCCGTCACGCGCCACAAAATTATTACCTCTGCGTGCCGTCACACTTCTCGAGTAACGTTGATCGATTCTAGGATTGATTTTAACTTGTAAAATGATGCAGTTTCTGATATAACTTTGAGTTTGAAAATCAGTTTAGTGTTGAACATTTCCATATAACCCCTTCAGCTTAGTAGTTGTCCTTTTCTCAGCTTACCGTTTAATAACGTTATAGTCATCCGCAGTAAAAGGGGAAGTAGTAGTAGAATGCAGAACCCACCAATACCGTATTCTCACGATTGCCCGACTTCAAGCGTTGATGTGGAGTACGTCAGTGCTGTGCTGGGTGAGTACCACAAGTGGACCTGTTCTGTATCTTACCAACTCAACCTAAAGATTCCTCTTTTCAGCCAAGGCGGCGCAAAACGCTCAAGTGAAGCTCTCCAGCGGTTACACCGACAACTTGATGGGTGACACGGGCGGCAGCTTCGCTGAAAAAGGGCCTCCCTATGAAGTATCTTTTAATCTGTGAGATGCTCCCCCAACCTCAAAGATTCAGGCTCATGCCACATCTAATGGAACCTTCAGAACTGCATCAACATCATCAAGCTCCACCGCTACTCCACCTGGCCTCACCGCCTCCTATGGTGCCGATACCCCCGGCATGCCTTCTAACTCGTTCGAGGATAGTACCTCTGAATTTCAGCATAGAGCGGTAGTAATAGTAATAGAGGTCAGGAGACCGTTTTTGCATATTCGTTGGAAAAATTTGATAGAAAATTTTATTTTCTTAGTGAAATTTCTCCCAAACTTTGCAGGTGTAAGACGTTCTGGAAAATTTACTAGTTTTCAGTATTTTTTTCTGCATTTTCCCTCGAAATTTTCGCATTTTCCTTTTTTCCAGGTTCAAGAATTAACTTCGCAGATTGTCAACTACTTGGATGCCGCAGGGACCGCCGTAGACGGCGTTAACTCACATATGGTGATACAGTCTTGAGGGAGACAGTAACGTTGTCACTCTTAATGACTGCGGAAAGATTTTTGAAAAATCTGGAAAATCGTAATCGAATGGAAAAAATTCTGCAAACAATATTGAGAAATAAGTTGTATGTAACAGTTTATCGCATTAAAGTTGAATTAAATTTGGTATGATTTATATTCTTCCAGAAATCCGCTCGAATTGGAGTATCATCGTTTTCAAAATTGCTCAGCAGCCTTCTTTCCCAGTAGCCTTGCAATTTGGGGCGTGACATTCTAACTATCGCTGTGCTCCTCGGTGATAACAGACTTGTTTGTCGTGTTGAACGATGATTCTGACGACTCTCCCAACACGAATAACGCGTCTGTAGTGGCAAATGAGCACAGGGAGATTAATCTCCATAGAGGAAATTTTAGATGTAGGGGGACTTCTCTCTTTTCAGATTAACAATAACAACGCGGATTTCGCAGCTCCTGTGGCTGCACCGTCGTATTACTGTGTGTTGGTGTATGTCGATGGTATGCCGTTCAGCTACCAGCTACTTGAACATGACTTGAGGAAGGTCATAGGGTGGCAAGAGGGGAAATTTTTTTTCTAGAGAATTTTTTTTCTAGGGAAAATCTTGCTGTATTTTTTCGCAGCTTGTGCAAGTCGGTTCACTGAAATTACTATTATCTGTTTGCTGTGGATATTCACTGATGACAGACAAAAAAACAAAACTCATATTTTGCGTAGCGAATTTTACGCGTTCATCCTAGTGTATTTTCGGTATTCCGCGGAAGGCTTTGGAAAATTTCAGATTTTCTGTAAATTTTCTAAGTCATTGCAGCTTGTTGGCGTTAATGGATCGCTTGATCGATTTCGCAGGTCTTTGGTATGTATGGTAGAGTAGAAGATGTGGAGATTTGCCCGGAAGGCGAGTCGGCAGTAGTTCGCTACCTGACCTGGGACGATGCGGCTAAGGCTGTTAAAACGTTGCATAACAAAGTCCTAAATGGTGTGCGGGGGAGGCTGTGTGTTGAATGGTGAGTAATCGAAAGGCCGTGGGCTCGAATCCAGGCGGTTCTCTAGTTCTGCCTAACGACGCGTTTGGAATGTCTGCCGTTCCCATCTGTTTATCATTTTGTACAAGTGTATTTGACAACTCTACCATATGGAGTATTTTCTATCGACCCTCCCCTAGGCACGAACTGTTATCACGGAGTCTTGACCGGCTTGTTTCGAATCACTCCTGCTGGTGCTGTGTGGATGACTCATTTATATTGTGCGTTGAGAGTATATTCGGTTAATATAATTCTTCGACATCTTGTTATAAATATTCTCGTTTATCGAATAGAATTTTACGCGAAAAAATGAATATTTTTTTGCAAAAAAATTGATGATATCTCTGTAGGTATTACCCCACCGTTCAGCGTCAAGTCCGTCTGTCCGAAGACTCAGCCCTGAATACTGATTTCGTTGCTGGTGGGGTCGCTCTGGGAACTCAGCCGTCCTCTATACCTTATAATGGGACTAGCATTGGACCTTATGCGAATCTCCAAGGCTTCCATTCGAATGAATTTCGTGGCGCGCGGGAAGTTCCTGAAGGACCGCCGCCGCTTCCGACGGCGCCTGCTGAAGATATTGGACAGAACAAACCGGCAGAAACGCAGCCCATTCGAAAGTGAGTATTCTAGGTGTGTGATAGGGATCAATTGTAGCTGTATCGGTACCATAAGTTTTAGATCAAGACGTTTATTAATTGTAGCTGTATCGGTAGCATAAGTTACAGATCAAGACGTTTATTAATTGTAGCTGTATCGGTAGCATAAATTTTAGATCAAGATGCTCATTAACTGTAGCTTTGTCGGTAGCATAAGTTTTAGATCAAAACGCTCACTAATTGTAACTGTGTTGGTAGCATAAGTTTTAGATGAAGACGCTCATTAACTGTAGCTGTGTTGGTAGCCTAAGTTTTAGATCAAGACGCTCATTAATTGTAGCTGTGTTGGTAGCATAAACTGTAGAGGAAAAATCGAGCCATGTTCTAATTGGGTGGTCTTCGAATTATCCTCATCACCATAAATTTCGAGGATTAAGTTTCGAAAGGAGTTGGAATGAATAATATCGGCTGAATCGTCTTTGATTCTTCCTCATAAACTTCGAAGAGATTCAATAACAGCTCTACCTAGGAGCGTGAATAATTCCACAGACGATACTGGGTTCAGATTTGTAATTTTAGATATACTTGCCGCTTTGAAATCGGCATTAAAAACGATCGGGATTTTCACGTGGCTCGCCGCATTATTGGTACAAAAGGCGTTAATATGAAACGCATTGTGAAAATGTCCGACGCAAAGTTGAGGCTGCGAGGGCGAGGATCGGGCTTCCTTGAAGGGAATATGAAGCAGGAGTCGGACGAACCGTTGCATCTATGCATATCATGCGTGGACCCGGTTGGGTAGGTGGGGATGGTCGTGAATCGGGCCTGTTTTGTATCTTGGGAGCTTCGACCTAAGATACTCTGTCTTTGCGCGAAACATGATTTTAGTATATCGTTTGTCGTAAATGGTGGGGAAAATAATCCCTAGATCGGAACAATTTACCCGCAGGTATCGTACAGCTACTAGGGAAGTGGAAAGGCTGTTGGAAGGCATTTACGAGGAGTATCGGAACTATTGTGAGGACTACGGCTTGGAATACCCCGAGAACTTAACCGTTGTGATGAAAGAGCACCCGTTGCTGGCGAACTCGGGTTCGGGAAGCAACAATACGATCAACGGAAGTGCTGCTAGGGACACGCTTGTGTTACAAAATGGTGTGGATGATGATGGTGATGATGTGGGCTGGCATGGAGGCGAGTTCTTTCCGAGGGGATATTATAGGGCGCGCGAGGACGGGGGAGGAGAGTGGCCGGCGAGCATGCCCAGTGTTGGAGAAATCGAGAAACTGATCGATGAAAGAAATGAAGCGCGACGGATGTGTAATTTTAAAGAGGCTGATAGAATTCGAGATTTGTTGCGGGCGAATGGAATTGGTCTTATGGACGAGCCTGGCGGACGCGGAAAAGGGTCGGAGGTAACTACGTGGAGGTTTTGGAGACAGTAGTGATGGGAGAAAGCTGAGGAATAAATTAACAAGCACGTTTGATGTTAAAGTGAGTTGAAAGATATTCTTAGTCTTGATCGAAAAGAAACAACATTAATCGCTAAATTCGAGTTGAGAATCATTATAGAATCAATACCACTCGTTTGCCGCATCATGTATGGGAGGTGTGACACGAGCTGGTGATGAGACGATGACTGTTGATTGTCTCGATTGGTCTGTAAAGGCCCTGTAATATGTTATTGATGATGGAGGAGCGTGGCCGTTGAGGAAATGCGAGATTGCAAGATGTGCAAGTGGGATAACCTTTCTCGACGGTCATTTGCGCTGGTCTGTTTATGCATCTTATACGTCTCTTCTTATATGCATCTTACGTCTCCTAGACAGTATAGAAATTTTGTGTTTGTATGGTGGGGTGGTTAAGGTGTTGATGTGTTATTCGCGAGGTGGTTGGTTCGATTCTGAGGAGTAGCATTTTTGTCAGTACATTGTTTCTATGGCTAAATTTGGGCAGCTGGTGATGGGCCCTGCAGGGTCTGGTAAATCCACCTACTGCAACACCGTATATGAACACTATGCTGCTATCGGAAGTAATACTGCGGGCTGGTCGATGCAGTTTTACACGGGTTTGATTCGCGCGGGTGACGGTATAGTAATGACGTATTGGGCTGTTGGTCGGATCGCACTTAGAAAATTCGTCTCGGATGGAGGCCGCATTAGACCGGGGGATAAGCGTTAGGGTAATGATGTGTTTCCTGCCCTCGAAGTCTTAGTATTACTCGCAGAGTGTTGGAATTCCCGATAAGAATTGGAGTAGAAAATTGCATTGTTGGTAGTTTCTTTGAGAATATCTTTTATTTTGTGCAACGCTGTAGTGAACCTCAGGAACAGTTCGAGTGATCAACCTAGATCCAGCAGCAGAGTCGTTCGCCTATCCCTGTGCTGTTAACATATGCGATTTGGTAGGATCTGGGGAATTTCGTGCCGCAGTGAAGCTCCTTTAGTGGAATAATACTTCTCTTATAATCGGTGATATGAGAAAATTGATTCTATCATAGCGGCAATCGACTCGAGAACAGGGCTTGAAGATATTTAAGATTTTATTTTTTAATATTTATTTTTTCTGGAAAATCTTCATACTGCGCAGCATATCTTTCTTTCTTCTCGTGACTGATAAGTAGTGAAAGAAAGCAATATTCGTTTACTCGACTTGTTGTTTCCAATTTGAATCAGCTGTACGATTGTGAGTAGAAGATGAACGAATGAGTTGGAAAGTCGGTGCTGCTGACAGGTCTCGCTGGATGATGTAGTGGAGGAATGCGAGCTTGGCCCGAATGGAGGGCTGGTGATGGCGATGGAGTAATGAAGGGGGGGAGGGGCGGGAGGGGTTAATCTTGCAATCTTGCATTTCCTCAACGGCGTCAAACTCGTGTGTGGTATAAACTACCGTCACTGACGTGTATAATTCTTTTGTTATCACATAAAAGTGCGAAATTGGTCTCGCGATAGTCTGAGGGAAATTTGAGCGGAGCGCTGTGTTTGTAGATACGTTTTAGAAGAAGGCTTGGACTGGTTGGAAGAGCAGATCAGCCAGTTCAATGATGATGAGTATTTCATGCTAGATTGCCCAGGTGGAATACGTGATGGTGTGAAAAGCGCTCGCCCAGCTGATCGATATTCAGGTCAAATTGAACTCTACTCGCATATACCTGTTATGAAAGATCTAGTGGATTTCCTCACGAACCGACTCGATATGAGGCTTTGTGGGATGTAGGGGAAATATTTGCTTCGCTCCGCTAGGAAGATTCATTTCTTGCCCAAGATACTGTCTCGATGTAATGTTCATCTCGGATACGCCTAAATTCATCTCTGGCGCGCTGTCGGCGCTCTCGGTGATGATCAATATCGACTTACCACACGTTAATGTAATATGATGGGAAGTGCGTTAAAACGTTCGTGATTTATTCACATTTGATCGATTTAATCGCTCGTCGTTTTGACGTGGTGAACGAGAATTAAATAGTCGATTGATAGTTGAAAATAAGAAATAATAATCGTATAGAAAATATTTTCGTGTCACGAAGTAAAGATTCAAATCAGGTCCTCACGAAATGCGATCTCGTGGCGTCTTCGGAGGATCGGTTGGAGGAGTTTCTCGAGTGTGACACGACGGACTTGTGTTTGAAGATTCAGGAGGGCATCAGTGAGAAGATGAAGAACCTGACCATTAAAATGGCTGAACTTTTACAAGAGTAAGGAGGCATAAGAGTTTTACCCGTGGAATGTGAAATGTGTTTTTTTCGCTAGTGTTTTTCACATCACGGGTGAAAGTCCATACTTATTACTATTTTAATAATTTCCTATTTATGTGATATTTAATGGAGTTTCATTCGAAAACTCGGTGAAAAATGCAGTATTCGCGGTGATATGCAGTAGTCGTAAAACATGTTTTTCACATCACAGGTGAGAACTCCATTATGCAGTTAGCCTTATTATTAGTAATAGTATACAACATATTATTATTATTATCTTTCGCTATCCAGTATAGATTCGAATATGAATTTGTTTGGCATTGATTAGATATTTATAGTAAGTGGAGTTTCACATGTTTTTCGCGAAGTGAAATGTGGAGTATGCTCCTCACTGGTGTCTCCTTATCATGGGTGAAACTGTAGTATATCTGGAATCATTATATTGGAGTTTCACCCTAGTGATATGAAAAACACTAGTGAGAAATATATTTTACGACTACTGCATAGCGAGATTATCGGAGTATTATGCCGCTTCACGTTAAACGGGTGAAACGCCATTAGTATTTTGTTGGATCATCCAACCAGTGTGGGAAAATATGCACATGGTGGACCACATATGTTGGTGACAAGATGGAATTTCTGAGGAAATTTTGCAAAATTTTTGTTGGTTTCTGTACATTTCCACCCTAGTTTGCATATGGACTCCTATAATGAGTGAGGAAACTCCTAGGGTAAGCTGAGGAAAGCGAACATATATTAAAACACTGCATCCAACACTGGAGTCTGCGTGTGTCATAGTAAGACTGTGTTGTAGATATTCGTTGGTAAGCTTCACACAAGTTGACCGAGAAGATGAGGACAGTATTGAGAGGTTACTTGAAATGGTTAATCTTGCTATTCAGTAGGCGGAGGCGAAGGGATGTGGTGCAGTGTGTTGGTTGGAAATGTGTGGAATCGATTATCTGCGCACAAAGCTGCACGCGGGTTCAAATCCTTGCTCGTGGATTTTTGTATTTTAACCCGTTAAGTTCCGATGAAAGATGTACATGGGAAATACGGATATAATTTTATGGAAAAAAATTGGGGGCGATTTTAATGGTATTGAAAGCAGTGTGGGGAAATATACACATCGTCAACTGCATATGTTGGTGACCCCACACACACTGTGAATAGATACGGGGAAAATCTGGAGCCTGAGGATAAGGACTACCTGCCTGAGGATGCAATGGACGGCTCGGATGAAGTTGACTTGAACGATTTCAACCAACTTTGATAGCACTGCTCACTGAAACGTTTCTATTGATAGAGAAATGTCTTGTGCCTGCTCGGATGGGTAGGGGAATTTCGCGGCGAGTGACGTTTTAGCATCGATGGCCTCATCAGCTGGGCAGGGGAGCTGGGAGCGTTGCAAGAGTGGAGCCCGGGAGGTGAGTCGTGATAGTCATCAACTTTTATGGTAATTTATGATGAAAGAGGGCAATTTTTTGGCGTTTCACGATCGGGTCTTGAAATTTGAGGATGGGATTTGGTTCTTGCATGCATGCAAGCCGGTTTTTTAATATTGCCTCAATTTCTCAATGTATGGTTGAAAGTTCGCTGGTAGAAATCTTGGAATAGTTCATCGTTTTTCGAATTTCAAAGGGATTGCCAAGCAGAGCAAAATCTGTATAGAAGCTGTTATAAACAAAATATATATCGCGCGATTTTCAATTTTCCGTTTTTCTTGTTGTTTTTCAGTTGGAGCGGTCAATTGAGGGTGGCATTGCGGAGTTGAGTAAGATGTCGGGGAGCGGAGAAAAAAGGGGTTCTACTGGAATGGCATTGGACGATCAAGTGGAAGTAAGATGTGGGCTCGATTTGGGCCTACTTTGTATCTTTATTGGGCGACCTAATGATACTTTTTGTAGATCGTCACGACGTTGATGGGTTCTACGGAAAGACAGTTGCGGCAATTGCAAGAGGTCGTTGATGAGATGGGCGAAGCAGCGAAGGAGAAGTCGAGATATGCGTTAGTTCAACGCCACAGGGGAATTCTAACGGTGAGGAAATGAAGGATTATTAGTGTTTGAAATTTTTTGGGGAGAAGTGTTATTTTCCCCTCATCTTGATGCAATTTGAGAGTGGATATGATGAATGAATTTTAATAGTAATTCACACTGTGAATTACTATTAAAATTCATATAATGTGAATTCCCATGAATTTGTGTGCCATGTGAATTCGCAATTCCCTAGGAATTTCACAGGGAAATTCTAACGGTCTAATCCTAATTGTAATTCATAGAGAAATTCTAACAGTGAGTGATTGAGTGAATATTCATGTTTCCAATTTCTGAGAGCAGCGATGATGAGAAGGAGGTTGTTGTTGCTTTTGAGTAGGATTTGCGAGAACACTATCGAACTGTGTCGAAAGCACTGCGGCATGAGATGAGGAAGACGACGTTGCTGTCCTCAACAGAGGAGGGGAGAATAGGCAAAAGTGAAGTTCATGATGATGACGAATGTGAGGGTAAATGTGGCAAGTGCTGGGAATCGCCATTTTTCAGCGAATCTGCTCCGAGAAAGGGGCGGCCTTGAGGCGTCTATTCGGGCGATGGATGAGATGTTAACGAATGCTTCGGACACGAGGGAAAAGTTAGAACAGCAAAACAGCGTTTTCGTGAAGATGAAGGGCAAACTCGGCGAAATAGGTGAGAATTGGTAACAGTAGTTCAGTGTTGACTACAGTTCTAGTAGTTGCTTCGACAGAATTACCATTAAATTATAAGCATTGTTAAGGATGCCTTCAATGGAATGTACTGTTGTAAATAACTCAAGTGCATTTATTGCTGAGTTCTGTCCAATGAACTATTGGAGTTTCACCCGTTTCACGTGAAGTGGCGTAAAACTCGGTGAAAAACGTGATATTCGCGCTATGCAGTAGTCGTGAAATATACTTATCACTAGTGTTTTTCATATCACGGGTGAAACTCCATCGATGAATCGATAGTTCGTTTAATTCGCTGAGTTATCGAAGCGCTGTATATACTATAATATATCTTAAAAACATCAGAGTTTGTGCCAAGTTGATATGCAAATAAGGAGGATGTACATGTTGTATTCCGGGATTGATGATAGTGAACAACTTGTCGCTATCATTGTCTCGGAAGGTTACTATTATCACGTCACATGTTCATACCAATGCTCACATTGTTTATCTGATATAGCCCCCAAATCGATTCTCATTGATCTCCCAAAAATTCACATTTTTTCCCATTTGCATATCAAATTGACACACACTGTATGCGAGTTGCTTTCCAGTAGTGACATTGGCTCGGACTTAAGTGGTCGGAGACCAAGTGGTGTATAGTCAGTTTATCGAATAAAATGATGATTGGGTTCAAACTAACGCAACAACTCTGTATTATTCCTCACCCAATTGGAACACTCCACCAACCGCACTTCTAGCTTTATAACAAACGAGCACGCCTCTTTAATCGATGGATATGTTCACATCTGCGCCCTGAGTTCTGTGAATGATGGGAATTCTCCTGCAGAAAGGGGGAAAATTAGCAGCCCTCATGCTATGTACATCTAGACCAGTTCAATCTAGCTCTAACTCGCCATACTTGATCATCCTGGAAGAGAACAAGGCTATTGACGCTGAAGGGATTCGTCTGCGAGTAGAAGTCTGCGAATACCGCCCATGAGTTCTCCATTTTGCTATGTTGTCATACACGTTTTCGTGTCTATACAGTTGACGATGTGTCGAACGAAATTCTCAGATCGGTTGATATCATAATCTGTAGAGTCGAGCGTACTTAGGTTCGGCGATCCCGGGAGTTGACGGTCTTATTAGGAAGATACGAGCGCGGAAGCGAAAAGAACAAATCATATTAGGTGAGTTCGCAATGAGACGGTATGATGGGCAATATGTTACTCTTCTGTCACTGTTCCAGAAACTTCAAGTTATCATTATGTCAGGTTTAACATTGGGAGTTTGTGGTTGTTTCACTATATGGTATAGATTTATGTGATATACTTTGAAAGTCTTGCGTTGTTGTAGTCGAGACGGGAAGGGTAAGAATACAATGAGGCGTCGTCGAGTCGTGTGATAACGTCAACCTTGCTGTGATGGGTTCTCTTACTGCTGAGTCTGAGTCAAAAACGTACGAAGGTCGACGAACTGGAAGGAAGTGGCGTAATTCGATGGCTTTTTCAACGAGCTGTCTTTTCGATACCAGAAAATAATTCGCCCTACGAAGCCTGCTTGACAGAAATTCTTATTCGATAGCTACGAGCATTCTCGCTCGCTACCCCCGCTAGAACCCAACTTCTGGTCCACAAGTCATAAATAGGGCGATCAAAAAAGGGTCCGTCCCTCGAAGTTTCTCAGCATATGTGTATGTCAGACAAACTCTGGTACCTGGTACCATTTTGAAGGTATCGGCGAGCTCTCTCCAGTGGTAATTGAATCAGTTCCAGATTTTCCATACTCGATAAGTCACGACGATATGAAGAAAGCCGTGTATAGGGAAAAGCGCTGGCAGATTCCATTACGAGAGTATTTCCGAGGTCTATCCATGGTCCAGCTCAGCGATATGCAACGATATTCCATCATTTGGCTTTGGAATGGTAAACCTGGTTGGGGCGCCTATGCCATCGTGCGTCCAACTCAGCGATATGCACCGATATTTCATCATTTGGCTTGGGAATGGTAAACCTGGTTGGGGCGCCTATGCCATCGTGCGTCCAACTCAGCGATATGCACCGATATTTCATCATTTGGCTTGGGAATGGTAAACCTGGTTGGGGCGCCTATGCCATCTCCACGAACACTGCAGAAAGGTAAACCATCGTCAGACGACGCAGATACTGCAAAAATGGATTCTGCCAGTACTTCCCTCTGTATACCTTTTTTTCGTTTCATTATGACCCCGCGAGTGTTGAGGTTATTAACGTGGTTCAATCGTCATTGGAAAGAGCTATCCGAGTGCTTCAAAATGGTAACTGAACCTGTCTGATATCCACATGCGTTAAGTTACAGGGGCTGGGTCCCTTTTCCTCGATCACCCTGTAGCAACAATTCATTCCGCACATTGAACGAGGGCTTTGTCGAGTATCACAAAATTGGCTATCAACGTAGACTCCAAAGAGGCAGACTCCGAGATGAGTGCAGACACGATGACACAATTTGCCATTGAGCGACGAGCTCGTTGTATATAATTTTGGTTGCTTCCTTGCGATACACACTACTTGGTCAGTGAGGAAGTGCGTTCAACTAGTTACCGAGGAAGTTAATTGTTGAACCAAATTTTAGTTGCTAAAAACCCAACAGCTACGAAAGACTAGACCAACCCGTTATTTTTGATAATAATGACGATAATTATGATGAAAAATAATTCAGGGCATCATTACCAGACGCATGAACAACTACTTGAACTCTAGCAGCATGTTGTTGTCAGGAGGAAGGCCAACGCACGCCTTCAATACATTCTCTAGCATTGCACGCTGTTTGGCCAGCGAATTAATGCAGGGTGTTCCATCAGGAACCAATGGAGCCTTGGTCAAGTAGCTTAGAATCACACCGAAAGGATGCATACCACGCAGCTCCTCTCCGTCCTTGGCAAGCTTGATACGAGTGATCAACTCGGCCAAGAGGACCAAGTCGATGATCAGTGGAGCTGCGAGAAGAGAATCTTCACAGGTATTGTGCATAACGATTGTGTTGAGGCCATTCATAAAAATTTGTGAAGTGTACTCGTCCATAGCACGCTTAGAGTCGCCCACCGCCGGCACGTACTTGATAACGACACAGTGGTCCGGATGCTCAGCTTTCTTATACAATAGGGCATTGCTGTTCACCATGTCATTCACAACGTCTGACTTGGAAATCTCCTTCGAGCGGAAGCACTGAGGAGCCGATAGGTTTTTCCCATCGTTATTTCCGAGATGATTATAGCTAACAATAGACGTGGGCTTCAATCCCGCGCCGATCAAGAAGTCGACCAAGACAGACTTCATCTTGGTCTGGCCGGACTTGAAATCATCACCAGCAATGACCGCACCAGGGATGTTCTCAGCCATCTCCTTGAGACCAGGGACATAGGTATTCTGCGGGGAACCATTTACGAAGGGAACGCCCTCTTCCAGGCAAGCCATGCAATACAAAGTGCTGGGAGCGATTTCAGCCTCGTTTCGAGATACTGCGTCAATGAGCTCAGCCTTGGTCGTGTTAACCCCTGGTATTATGTCAGCGTAACGCTCAGTGTTAGCCGTCCATAGAACAACAATCTTATCGCAGCCATTGGCCGCTTTGAAGTCGCGAATATCTTTCTTGACGCATTCAATCTGATCGCGTTTTGTCATCGTTTTTGGCATAATGTTGTCAGCACGATCCTCTTGGTTAGCCGCGATAAAAGCTGGATCGTAAATGCCAGGAAGCGGAACTATATTCTCCATCATAGGCCTGAGTTTGTTTTGTAGATCACTCGGCAACACCTTGGCTCGTTTCATTGCAGCGTACATGTTGAAACCACTGATATCCCAGCCCCCGAGCACAACGTCATTGGGATCGACCATAGGCACCAACTTGTTCATAGGGGTGTACACTTCCTTACCGTTAATGTTGCCGAGACGAACCACAGAGGCTTGAGTGACCGAACCGTAGTAGTTGGGATGTTGAAGACCGTCTTTGGTCTCCCATGTGATACCATGCTTGTTGGCAAGGATACCAGCGGTGACGGTAGTGCCGTTGTTGCCACCCCAACCGACCAGCATGACGCCGAGCTTGGGTACTCGCCTGTCGGTCTTGAAGTTGTACTTGACCGTCCTGGGAGTGACCACCCATTGGCCGTCACGAGCCTGGGAGATGTCCGTGGTGTGGTAATCGTAGGAAGCCTCGATGTGGGTGTCTGTGTAGACTACGTTGGGGGAGTCGACGGTGAAGGAAGGGCAATGGATTGCCATTGTCGAGTTTCCAGATGTGAGAACTCTGAGAAGAATATACGCCTTGTATGAGACTGAGGTCGACTTCACGACGTGGGGTTGAGAAAAACGCAAGATTAGATCTGATCGTTGTTCGAATGATGTATTTCATACTACTGATACACCGATGCAGATAGGGCGTGACGTGATACGACTATGATGCACATCGTGGAAGACTTTGTGCTCGAGACGAGAAGATTCCAGCATAGAGTCTATGGAATTGAGACACCATCCTCGCGTTTTAAGTCCACTGACACCAAGTACCTTCATCTCGTCTTGCTGACACCGCTGAAATAAGTGAGGACAAGATTGGGCGAGCGAGATCTGCAAGATTTCCATTTTGGGTGATACAGGTTTCGCCAACCCGGATTTCGCCAAAATGACACCTAACGGGTTTCAAGACTCTTGGACATGTTTGTTAGGCAATTTAAGGGAAGGGACAGATTCGAACAATTTGGCGAAATACCAGGCATAGCGTCAAATTTCGCCACATAGTTGTTGCGACATACGGGTTTTACCAAAGTTGGTCAAGTCTGGAATACGCAGGGTTTTGCCAAGTTCCTTGTTGGCGTAAGACGGTGCTGAACCCTGTTTCGCCAATCCTTACACCGTACAGGTTTCGCCAATTCCAGGTCGTTAAAGCATGTCAGACGAAGAAAGGTCCTCGATCGGCTGTGATGATGACACACCAACTTTTTTGTAAGCACTATGGTGGAGTGGTTAGAGGTCCGCGCGCTAGATCGGAAGGTCGGGCGTTCTATACTCGGAGCCTTCGAGTCGGAGAGTATTTAATCACTCGAATCCATCAAAAACATTCTAGAATACTCTGACTCGGCCGCCTTGGACGATACCGAACCGATGTCATCGATCAATAGGACCAGCGCAAATCAATAGTATGGTAGATTTAGAAGCAGTATTCATTATGAGCGGGCTTCAAGACCTCGTGACTAACCCGATGGGCGGTGTCACAGTCTATAGGTTCTGTAGCACTGATTATTACGCTGACCTATTGGCTAACCTTGGGGGTAATATGATAGATTTGATAGCAGCAATGCTTTATCACGGAACGCTGTCGCGAGGTAAGGGACTGATATGGAAGTTTCTGTGCTTTCTGTAAACTGCTTGCCTAGTCAGATACAACAGTGACAAGATGACAGCAACGACGAGTTTCTTTGATCGTTTCCGAATGGATTGTTTGTTGTGTTGCGTAGTGAGGGAAGTCATGAAGTTCACGACGTGAAAGGAGATAGAGAGTCCGGTAACTTCGCGAGCCGTATTCTCGAACAGTCGTGACATGAGCTCATGCTAGTGCTCGAGCCTTTAACCCGCATTATAATGAGAAAAACTCTCATGATATACGCACTAGTAGACAAACCTCCGCAGAACAC